GAGGGGTTTGGGGGTCCCACACCCATTAATCCCCCACAGCCCTCAGGGGGTACCTGGAGGCTGCCCCGGGGGCAGTTCTGGGTTACTGGGTCAGGATGCAGATTTGGGGGGTCTCACACCCCCTCAGGGGGTACCTGGAGGCTGCCCCGGGGGCAGTACTGGGTCAGGATGCAGATTTGGGGGGGCAGTTCTGGGTTATTGGGTCAGGATGCAGATTTGGGGGTCCCAAACCCCCCCAGGGGGTACCTGGAGGCTGCCCCGGGGGCAGTACTCGGTCAGGATGCAGATTTGGGGGGTCTCACACCCCATTAACCCCCCCAAACCCCCTCAGGGGGTACCTGGAGGCTGCCCCGGGGGCAGTACTGGATCAGGATGCAGATTTGGGGGGGCAGTGCTGGGTCAGGATGCAGATTTGGGGTCCCAACCCCCAGGGTACCTGGAGGCTGCCCCGGGGGCAGTACTGGGTCAGGATGCAGATTTGGGGGGGCAGTTCTGGGTCAGGATGCAGATTTGGGGGGGCAGTACTGGGGGTTACTGGGTCAGGATGCAGATTTGGGGGTCCCAAGCCCCCCAGGGGGTACCTGGAGGCTGCCCCGGGGGCAGTACTCGGTCAGGATGCAGATTTGGGGGGCAGTACTCGGTCAGGATGCAGATTTGGGGGGGCAGTACTCGGTCAGGATGCAGATTTGGGGGTCCCAAGCCCCCCCAGGGGGTACCTGGAGGCTGCCCCGGGGGCAGTACTCGGTCAGGATGCAGATTTGGGGGTCCCACACCCCCCCAGGGGTACCTGGAGGCTGCCCCGGGGGCAGTACTCGGTCAGGATGCAGATGTTGGGGGTCCCAAGCCCCCCAGGGGGTACCTGGAGGCTGCCCCGGGGCAGTACTCAGGTCAGGATGCAGATGTTGGGGGTCTCACACCCATTAACCCCCAAACCCTCAGGGGGTACCTGGAGGCTGCCCGGGGGCAGTACTGGGTCAGGATGCAGATTTGGGAGGCAGTTCTGGGTTACTGGGTCAGGATGCAGATTTGGGGGTCCCAAGCCCCCAGGGGGTACCTGGAGGCTGCCCCGGGGGCAGTACTCGGTCAGGATGCAGATTTGGGGGGGCAGTACAGGGGTCAGGATGCAGATTTGGGGGGTCCCAAGCCCCCAGGGTACCTGGAGGCTGCCCAGGGGCAGTACTCGGTCAGGATGCAGATTTGGGGTCCCAAGCCCCAGGGAGTACCTGGAGGCTGCCCCGGGGGCAGTACTGGGTCAGGATGCAGATTTGGGGGTCCCAAACCCCAGAGGGTACCTGGAGGCTGCCCGGGGGCAGTACTGGGTCAGGATGCAGATTTGGGGGTCCTCACACCTGTGCCCCTCCCCAAACCCCCCCAGGGGGTACCTGGAGGCTGCCCCGGGGGCAGTACTCGGTCAGGATGCAGATTTGGGGGGGCAGTACTGGGTTATTGGGTCAGGATGCAGATTTGGGGGTCCCACACCCCCCCAGGGGGTACCTGGAGGCTGCCCCGGGGGCAGTACTCGCTCAGGATGCAGATTTGGGGGTCCCAAGCCCCCCCAGGGGGTACCTGGAGGCTGCCCCGGGGGCAGTTCTGGGTCAGGATGCAGATGTGGGGGGTCCCAAGCCCCCCCAGGGGGTACCTGGAGGCTGCCCCGGGGGCAGTACTCGGTCAGGATGCAGATTTGGGGGGGCAGTACTGGGTCAGGATGCAGATTTGGGGGGTCCCACACCCCATTAACCCCCCCAAACCCCCTCAGGGGGTACCTGGAGGCTGCCCCGGGGGCAGTACTGGGTCAGGATGCAGATTTGGGGGTCCCACACCTGAAACCCCCCCATAGCCCCCCCCAGGGGGTACCTGGAGGCTGCCCCAGGGGCAGTACTGGGTTACTGGGTCAGGATGCAGATTTGGGGGGGCAGTACTCGGTCAGGATGCAGATTTGGGGGTCCCAAGCCCCCAGGGGGTACCTGGAGGCTGCCCGGGGGCAGTACTCGAGTCAGGATGCAGATTTGGGGTCCCACCCCATTAACCCCCCCAGGGGGTACCTGGAGGCTGCCCCGGGGGCAGTACTCGGTCAGGATGCAGATGTTGGGGGGGTCGGTGCAGGCGCCGATGAATCGGGTCAGGTGCTCGTTCTGCACGTCCCGCATCTGGGGGAGGGGAGAGGGGAGGGAAGGGGAGGGGATGGCACCGCAGGGTCCTGCAGCCCCACCCTCACCTACCCGGGGGCACCAGGTTGGGCTCCCTCGTCCCTTTGGGGTCACCCCCTCCCTCCCTGGGGGTCACTCCCTGTCCCTTTGGGGTCACCTCCCCTCGTCGGGGGTCACTCCCTGTCCCTTTGGGGTCACTCCCACCCCCTTTGGGGTCACTCCCCGCCCCTTTTGGGATCACTCCCTGTCCCTTTGGGGTCACTCCCACCTAATTTGGGGTCACTCCCTTTGGGGTCACTCCCTATCCCGTTTGGGGTCACTCCCACCCTCTTTGGGGTCACTCTTGCCCCTTTTGGGATGACTCCCCGCCCCCTTTTGGGGTCACTCCCTGTCCCTTTGGGGTCACTCCCACCCCCTTTGGGGTCACTCCCTGTCCCTTTTGGGGTCACTCCCCAACCCTTTTGGGGTCACTCCCACCCCATTTGAGATCACTCCCTGTCCCGTTTGGGGTCACTCCCACCCCCTTTGGGGTCATTCCCTACCCCCTTTGGGGTCACTCCCACCCCCTCTTTGAGATCACCCCCGCCCCATTTGGGGTCACCCCGCCCCCCGGGGCGTGTCCCATCCCCTCCCACCCCCCTCCCCCGGTCCCTTTGGGGTCACGCACGTGTTTCAGCTCGAACAGGACCTTCCTGGTGAGCTCGATGCGTTGCGGTTCAGGTGCTTCACGGCCACCAGGTTACCCTGGGAGGAGGGGAGTGTGGGGTGTGGATTGGGGACACAGCGTGGGGCGGGGCCGCGGAGTGAGGGAGGGGTGTGTGGGGCAGGGCCGCGCGTGGGGCGGGGAAAAGGGTGGGGCGGAGACAAGCGTGGGGAGGGGTGTGTGGGGCAGGGCCGCGTGAGGAGGGGGTGTGGAGTGAGGACACGCGTGGGGAGGGGGTGTGTGGGGCGGGGCCGCGCGGGGGGCAGGGAAAGGGTGGGGCAGGGCCGCGCGTGGGGAGGGGTGTGTGGGCAGGGGCCGCGCGTGGGGAGGGGTGTGTGGGGCAGGGACACGCGTGGGAGCAGGGCCGCGGGTGGGGAGGGACACGCGTGGGGCGGGGCCGCAGGTGGGAGCAGGGAAAAGGGTGGGGGAGGGGCCGCGGGTGGGGCGGGGACGCGCGTGGGGAGGGGTGTGTGGGGCGGGGACACGCGTGGGGCGGGGCCGCGGGTGGGGCGGGGCCGCGCGTGGGGAGGGGACACGCGTGGGGGCCCCTCCCCCTCACCTTGTAATAGGCGGTCTTGGCATAGACCTGGAACTGCCCCTCCGTGGTCATCAACGAGCCGTAATTGGAGCCCCTCTGAGCAGAGAAAACAGGGGGGGTCGAGCACAGAAACCCCCCCATGGGGACCCCTCACCTGTCCCTGAGAGGGCCCTGGGGTGACCCCAAACCCACCCCCAAAATCCAATCCTAGCAGGGGGGTGACCCCCACAAATCCAATCCTAGCAGGGGGATGACCCCACACCCCCCAAATCCAATCCTAGCAGGGGGGTGACCCCACACCCCCCAAATCCAACCCTTGCAGGTTGATGACCCCCAAAATCCCAATCCTAGCAGGGGGATGACCCCAACCCAGCCCCCCAAATCCAACCCTTGCAGGGAGATGACCCCACACCCCCCCCAAATCCAATCCTAGCAGGGGGATGACCCCCACACCCCACCCAAACCCAACCCTTGCAGGGTGATGACCCCTCAAAACCCAACCCTAGCAGGGTGATGACCCCACACCCCCCCAAACCCAACCCTAGCAAGGTGATGACCCCCCCAAACCCAATCCTAGCAGGGTGATGACCCCAATGCCCCCCAAATCCAATCCTGGCAGGGTGATGACCCCCCCAAATCCCATCCTAGCAGGGTGATGACCCCCCCAATCCCAATCCTAGCAGGGTGATGACCCCACACCCCCCAAACCCAACCCTAGCAGGGGGGTGACCCCCACACCCCCCAAACCCAATCCTAGCAGGGTGATGACCCCACACCCCCCAAACCCAACCCTAGCAGGGTGATGACCTCAATGCCCCCCCCAAACCCAACCCTAGCAGGGGTGACCTCACCCCTAAATCCCATCCTAGCAGGGTGAGTGAGCCCCCAAATCCAATCCTAGCAGGGGGTGACCCCCACCCCCCTAAAATCCCATCCTAGCAGGGTGATGACCCCCCCAAATCCAATCCTAGCAGGGGGATGACCCCACACCCCCAAACCCAACCCTAGCAGGGTGACCCGTGGGGTGCCCCCAATGCCCGAGCGGGGCTGTGGGGTGACCCAGTCGTGGGGTGACCGTGGGACCACCCCCTCACCCCAGCCCTCCCCGTGCCCGTGGGGTGCCTCTCCCACCAGGGACAGGGTGAGTTTGCTGCCCCACACCCCCAATCCCAACCCTAGCAGGGTGACCCGTGGGGTGCCCCCAATGCCCCGAGCGGGGCTGTGGGGTGACCCAGCCGTGGGGTGACCGTGTGGCCATCCCCTCCCACACCCCCCAGCCCTCCCCCCGTGCCCGTGGGGTGCCTCTCCCACCAGGGACAGGGTGAGTTTGCTGCCCCACACCCCCAATCCCAACCCTAGCAGGGTGACCCCTGGGGGTGCCCCCAATGCCCCGAGCGGGGCTGTGGGGTGACCCAGCCGTGGGGTGACCATGGGACCACCCCCCCTCACGCCTCCAGCCCCCCCCCGTGCCCGTGGGGTGCCTCTCCCACCAGGGACAGGGTGAGTTGCTGCCCCACCCCCCAAACCCAACCCTAGCAGGGTGACCCATGGGGTGCCCCCAATGCCCCGAGCGGGGCTGTGGGGTGACCCAGCCGTGGGGTGACCCCCTCCCACCCCCCTCCCCGTGCCCGTGGGGTGCCTCTCCCACCAGGGACAGGGTGAGTTTGCTGCCCCACACCCCCAAACCCAACCCTAGCAGGGTGATGACCCCACACCCCCAATCCCAACCCTAGCAGGATGACCCGTGGGGTGCCCCCAATGCCCCGAGCGGGGCTGTGGGGTGACCCAGCCGTGGGGTGACCCCCTCCCACACCCCCCCAGCCCCTCCCCGTGCCCGTGGGGTGCCTCTCCCACCAGGGACAGGGTGAGTTTGCTGCCGGCGCTCCTCAGGTGCTTCTCCAGGCTGCTCATCTGCACGTCCTCCCAGCGCACCCTCCACAGCTCGGCCGCCAGCTCCTTCTCCAGCCGCAGCTTCCTGAACCCCAAAACGGGGGTTGGGTGGGCTGTGAGACCCCCTATTTCACCCACACCCCCTCCAGCCCCTCCTCGACTCCCCCTCCCCAGCCCCGACCTGTAGATGAAGAAGGAGGTGACGGTGACGGCCGCGAGGGTCAGGCTGGCCACGAGCGACAGCACCTCCAGCGTGGACAGCGGGGCTGTGCGGGGGCAGCGGCGGCGCTCAGGGGTCGAGGGGGGGATTTCAGGGGGGTTTCAGGGATTGTTTGACACATCCCCCCCTCCCCAAACCCCCACCTTGGCGGCACAGGGGGTCGCCGTGGTCGAATCCGCAAGGGGGGACGTCGGGAGGGACCGCCTTGCCCGGCCAGTGGATGTCCCTGCCCGGCACCATCCGCAGCTCCTTGGTGGTGCCGTTGTAGTTGGCCACGATCTTTTTTTGGGGTGGGGGAAAAAAAAAAGGGTGGGGAGGAGCCCCCAGACCCTTTGGTTGGGGGTGAAACCCCTCCAGGTGCCGGCGCTCCCCACCTGGAATTCCCCCCGCGCCGGGTCCATGTCCCACAGGGAATAATCGCTCTCCCGGTCCCCGTTCTCGTCGATTTTCAGGAACCCGGTGACACCTGGAGAGGGGAGGGGAGGGAGGGAGGGGCTGGGGGAGGGACCTTGGGGACCTGGGAGGGAGGGGGTTTGATCCCAAAACGTGGTGCTGGGAAAGGGGGAGGGTGATGAGGGAGGGGGGACTGGGTGGGATGGGGTGGAGAAAGGGGATGGGGACAGGGGAAAGGGGAGGGGTCGGGACGTGGATAGGGATGGAAATGGGGACAGGGACATGGATGGGATGGGATGGGGTGGGAAAAGGGGGATGGGGATGGGGACAGGGAAAGAGGATGGAAATGGGGCCAGGGACACGGATGGGATGGGGATGGGGAGGGAAAAAGGGGATGGGGATGGGGACAGGGAAAGGGGATGGGATGGGGATGGGGAAGGAAAAGGGGGATGGGGATGGGGACAGGGAAAGGGGAGGGGGTTGGGATGTGGATAGGGATGGAAATGGGGAAGGGACACGGATGGGATGGGGATGGGGAGGGAAAAGGGGGATGGGGATGGGGACAGGGAAAGGGGATGGAAAAGGGGATGGAAATGGGGACAGGGACAGGACAGAGAGGGACAGGGACACGGATGGGATGGGGATGGGGTGGGAAAAGGGGGATGGGGATGGGGACAGAGAAAGGGGATGGAAAAGGGGACAGGGAGGGAAAAGGGATGGGGATGGGGTGGGAAAAAGGGGATGGGGATGGGGACAGGGACACGGATGGGATGGGGATGGGGTGGGAAAAGGGGGATGGGGATGGGGAAAGGGGATGGGATGGGGATGGGGAGGGAAAAGGGGGATGGGGATGGGGACAGGGAAAGGGATGGGATGGGGATGGGGTGGGAAAAAGGGGGATGGGGATAGGGACAGGAAAGGGGAGGGGTTGGGATGTGGATAGGGATGGAAATGGGGAAGGGACACGGATGGGATGGGGATGGGGAGGGAAAAGGGGGATGGGGATGGGGACAGGAAAGGGGATGGAAAAGGGGATGGAAATGGGGACAGGGACAGGACAGAGAGGGGACAGGGACACGGATGGGATGGGGATGGGGTGGGAAAAGGGGGATGGGGATGGGGACAGAGAAGAGGGATGGAAAAGGGACAGGGAGGAAAAGGGGGATGGGGATGGGGTGGGAAAAGGGGGATGGGGATGGGGACAGGGACACGGATGGGATGGGGATGGGGTGGGAAAAGGGGGATGGGGATGGGAAAGAGGGATGGGATGGGGATGGGGAGGGAAAAGGGGGATGGGGATGGGGACAGGGAAAGGGATGGGATGGGGATGGGGTGGGAAAAGGGGATGGGGATGGGGACAGGGAAAGGGAGGGGTCGGGACGTGGATAGGGATGGAAATGGGGACAGGGACATGGATGGGATGGGGATGGGGTGGGAAAAGGGGGATGAGGATGGGGACAGGGACAAGGATGGGATGTGGATGGGGTGGGAAAAGGGGGATGGGGATGGGGACAGGGGAAGGGGATGGAAATGGGGACAGGGACAGGACGAGGGAGGGCAGGGGACGAGGATGGGATGGGGATGGGGAGGAAAAGGGGATGGGGATGGGGACAGGGAAGGGAGGGGTCGGGATGTGGATAGGGACAGGGAGGGGCAGGGACACGGATGGGATGGGGATGGGGTGGGAAAAGGTGGATGGGGATGGGGAGGGAAAAGGGGATGGGGATGGGGACAGGGAAAGGGGACGGAAATGGGAGACAGGGAAAGGGGGATGGGATGGGGATGGGGTGGGAAAAGGGGATGGGGATGGGGACAGGGAAAGGGGATGGAAATGGGACCAGGGACAGGACGGGGAGGGGCCAAGGGACGAGGACGGGCTGGGGAGGGGCCTGACCGTAGAAGGTGCGGTTCCACATCTGCCTCGTGATGGCCGAGGCGTCTCCCACGGAGCCCCCGCGCTCCAGGGTCTCGTGGAGGGCCTGGGCGTAGAGCAGGACCCCGTCGTGGAAGGCGGCGGCGATGAAATTCATCTGGAGGGGGTTGGGGGACACGGGGGTGGCTCGGGGACAGCCTGGGGACAGGGCACAGCTTGGGGGGACACGACCCCTCCCTTCATCCCCACCTCCATCCCACGTCCTTTATCCCCCAGCTCCACCGCCGTGCCCACCCCCGTCCTCCCACGCGTGGTTCCCCCCATTCCCACCATTCCCACCATTCCCACCATTCCCACGGTCCCCCGGTCCCACCAGGCCGTCCTGCAGGGAGAGGTTGAAGTTCTGCCGGGCCTCGTCCCGCAGGCGCCGCAGGAAGGGTCGGTACTCGGGTTTTGGGGCTCCGTGTACGTGATGATGGTCACGGCCTGGGGGACACAGAGAGGGGCGTGGGGCAGGGCCTGGCAGATCAGTGCCCACCCACGCGGGAAGGGGGTACACTCGTGTCCCCCCTGGTGTCCTTATGCCCACCCTGGTGTCCCCTGTGTCCCCCCTGGTGTCCCCATGTTCACCTCGGGGGGGGTCCCGTGCCCACCCTGGTGTCCCCTGTGCCCACCCTGATGTCCCTGTGCCCACCCTGGTGTCCCCATGTTCACCTGGGGGTCCTGTGCCCACCCCGATGTCCCGTGCCCACCCCTGGTGTCCCTGTGCCCACCCTGGGGGTTCCCGTGCCCACCCCGATGTCCCCGTGCCCACCCCGATGTCCCTATGCCCACCCTGGTGTCCCTGTGCCCACCCTGGGGGTTCCCATGCCCACCCTGGTGTCCCTGTGCCCACCCCGATGTCCCCGTGCCCACCCCGATGTCCCCTGTGCCCACCCTGGGGTCCGTGCCCACCCTGATGTCCCCGTGCCCACCCTGGTGTCCCCGTGCCCACCCCGGTGTCCCCATGTTCACCTGGGGGGGTCCTGTGCCCACCCCGATATCCCCGTGCCCACCCCGATGTCCCTGTCCCCACCCTGGTGTCCCCGTGCCCACCCTGGTGTCCCCATATTCACCTGGGGGGGTTCCCGTGCCCACCTAGGGGGGTTCCTGTGCCCACCCTGGTGTCCTCATGTTCACCTGGGGGGTGTCCCGTGCCCACCCTGGGGGGGTCCTGTGCCCACCCCGATGTCCTCATGTTCACCTGGGGGGGGTCCCGTGCCCACCCTGGGGGGGTTCCCATGCCCACCCCGGTGTCCCCATGTTCACCTGGGGGGTGTCCCGTGCCCCCCTGGTGTCCCGGTGCCCCCCCCGGGGGGGGGTTCCCGTGCCCACCCTGTTGTCCCCGTACCCCCCGTGTCCCCGTGCCCCCACGGGGGTTCTCCCTATGCCCACCCTGGTGGTCCCCGTGCCCCCCTCGGTGGTCCCCGTGCCCCCTCGGTGGTCCCCGTGCCCACCCGGTGTCCCCCTCCTCACTCCCGGGGGTGGGGATCCCCATGCCCACCCCGGTGGTCCCCATGCCCCACGGGGGTTCCCATAGCCCCCGGTGGTCCCTGTGCCCCACGCGGGGTGGGGGTGGATCCTGTTCCCCGGTGATCCCCTGTGCCCCCACGGTGGTCCCCTGTGCCCCCACGGTGGTCCCCGTTCCCCCCCGGTGGTCCCCCATGCCCACCCCGGTGGTCCCCATGCCCCCACGGGGATTCCCATGCCCCCGATGGTCCCCGTGCCCCACGGGGATTCCCATGCCCCCGATGGTCCCCGTGCCCCACGGGGGTTCCTATGCCCCCGATGGTCCCCATGCCCCCACGCGGGTGGGGGTTCCCATGCCCCCGTGGTCCCCGTGCCCACCCGGTGTCCCCCTGCTCACTCCGGGGTGGGGTGGATCCTGTTCCCCCGGTGGTCCCTGTGCCCCCACAGGGGGTTCCCATGCCCCCGGTAATCCCATGCCCCCGGTGGTCCTCGTGCCCCCGGTGGTCCCCATGCCCCCGGTGGTCCCTGTGCCCCCACGGGGATTCCCATGCCCCCCGGTGGTCCCCGTGCCCCCGGTGGTCCCCGTGCCCCCACGGGGATTCCTATGCCCCCTCGGTGGTCCCATGCCCCATGGGGGATTCCCATGCCCCCGATGGTCCCCATGCCCCCACGGGTGGTCCCTCGTGCCCCCTGGTGGTCCCCGTGCCCCCGGAAGGATCCCCCTCCCCGGGCACCCTGCTCACCTCGAAGGCTCTGCGGGCTCGGGGGTCGTGGCGGTCCCCGCGGTGCCAGGGCCGGCGGGGGTCTGGGAAGCGCCCCCGCCCTGGGGGTGCCCCTGCAGGCTGGCCCCGAACGTGTCGATGTAAAAAGAAGGCGAAGTCGCCCCCGTGAGCCCTCGAGCTCCGCCTGCAGCAGCAGCTCCCGCAGCGTGTCCGGGGCACAGCACGCTACACCACTGGGGAGGGGGCACGGCCTTGGCACAGGGACCCTCGACAGCCCCAGGGACCCCTGAGAGCCCCTGGAACCACCGAGAGCCCCAGGGACCCCCAACTGACAGCCCGCCCCCCGACAGCTCCAGCCCTCCCGACACCCCCTGGACACCATGGGACACTTTAGGACACCCTGGACCCCAGAGAGCCCCTGGACCCCGGAGTGACAGCCCTGGGGCTCCTCACACCCTGAGAGCCCCAGGGACCCACGAGAGCCCCCAGGGACCCCGGGAGAGCCCCAGGGACCCCTGAGTGACAGCCCCTGGAACCCCGAGAATCCCTGGACCCTCGAGAGCCCCTGGGACCCCCGAGAGCCCCAGGGACCCCTGAGTGACAGCCCAGGGACCCCTGACAGCCCTGGGACGCCCGAGAGCCCTGGGACCCCGACAGCCCCAGGAACCCCTGAGTGACAGCCCTGGGGCTCCTCACAGCCTCCCCGACACCCCTGGACACCATGGGACACTTTGGGACACCCTGGGACCCCTGAGAGCCCCTGGGACCCCGACCGGACAGCCCTGGAGCTCCTCACAGCCCCCCCGAGAGCTCCGGGACCCCGAGAGCCCCTGCAACCCCTGACAGCCCCAGAGACCCCCTGAGAACCCCGGGACCCCCAGGGACCCCTGAGAGTCCCTGGAACCCCCGAGAGCCCCTGGAACCCCGAGAGCCCCTGGAACCCCGACAGCCCCAGGGACCCGACGAGCTCCTGAGAGCCCTGGGACCCCGAGAGCCCCCGGGACCCCTGAGTGACAGCCCTGGGGCCCTCACAGCCCCCCAACAGCTCCAGGGACCCCTGACAGCCCCAGGGACCCCCGAGAGCCCTGGGACCCCGAGAGCCCTGGGACCCCCGACAGCCCCCGGACCCACGAGAGCCCCTGGAACCCCGAGAGCCCCAGGGACCCCGAGTGACAGCCCTGGGGCTCCTCACAGCCCCACCCCCGACAGCCCCAGGGACCCCGAGAGCCCCCGGGACCCCAAGAGCCCTGGGACCCTCGAGAGCCCTGGGACCCCCCGCCCCGACAGCTCCAGCACCCTCGACAGCCCCTACTGGGGACACCCTGGGACCCCCTGACAGCCCCGGGACCCCGAGAGCCCTGGGACCCCCGGAGTGACAGCCCAGGGACCCCTGAGTGGCAGCCCTGGGGCTCTCACAGCCCCCGACAGCCCCAGGGACCCCGACAGCCCCAGGACCCCGAGTGACAGCCCTGGGGCTCCTCACAACCCCTCCCGACAGCCCCAGGGACCCCTGAGAGCCCCAGGGACCCCTGAGTGACAGCCCCTGGGGCTCCTCACAGCCCCTGACAGCCCCAGGGACCCCCCAGAGCCCTGGAACCCCCGAGAGCCCACGGGACCCCTGAGAGCCCTGGGACCCCTGACCGACAGCCCTGGGGCTCCTCACAGCCCCCCGACAGCCCCTGCTGGGGACACCCTGACCCCCCACACCCCCCAGACCCCGGCACACCCTGACCCCACGTCGTGGGGTCCCTGGTTACTGTACGAGAAGGGCCTGACACCCTCCCCACTCCCCCCAAAAACATCCCTGGCAGACCCCAAAGCCTCCCAGCACCCTCAAAACCCCACGTCGTGTGTGTGTGGGGTGTCCGTGGTTATTACGTGACACTCCGTGGGCCTAGGCCCCGGGCTGGGTGGGGGGTGGGAGTCCTGACCCCTGTTTCCCACCCCCCACCCCCCTTTCCTCCCACCCGTGCCCTGCCCGGCGCTGCCCCGGGCGCCAGGCCGAGGTTTCCTGTTTTCCTGACCTGTTTCTCTCCCTCCCCGCGGCCCCGATGGATTCCTGGCGACACTGGGACCCCGGCGGTGCCACCCCCACCACCCACGTCACCCCAAAATGTCCCCCACCTCCACCCACTCCGGGGCTCAGCGCCCACCGCCCACCCTGTGTCCCCCCGTGTCACCCCAAAATGCTCAGCCCCATCACTCAACCCTGGGTCACAGGGACCCCAAAATGCCCCCCGGGGCTGAGAACACCCCCTCCACGCACACCCACCCGTGTCACGCGGGGCTGCCCCACGGAAGGGTCCGGGACCACCGGGAGTGGGGACGGTGCTCGGCAGCTCCCTGTGGGGTGGGGGTGGGGGGGACACGGCACGGAGAGGGGTCTAGGGGGTCACGGGGGTGGGGGCAGAGCACGCAGTGCGTGGGTGTGCAGGGCAGCCGAGAACACGCGTGGGGCCAGGAACACCTGCGGCCGGCTGGGAACACGCGTGGAAAGTTTGGGCACAGCCGCGACCCCCCCCACACGCCCCGGGCACAGCCGGGAAGAGCCGCGCAGGGCCACGAACACGCGTGTGCTGCCGTGCCCGGCCGCGAACACGCGTGAAACCCTGTGCACAGCCGTGAACACGCGTGAAACCCTGTGCACACCCGTGAACACGCGTGAAACCCTGTGCACAACCCGCGCCCAGCCACGGACAGCCGGGCACGGCCGCGTCGCGCTGCTCGCACCCATGTATGGTCGTGTGAACACCCGTGGAAAGCCGTGCCGAGCCGGGGCACACCCATGGGCGCCCGTGCGGAGCTGCGCCCACCCGTGACGGGCCCCGCACCGCCCCCTGTGCCCCCCTCCTCGGGGTCCAAGCCGCCCTCCTTCCCGCCCCGCTGTCCCCCTCCCTGTCCCCTTCCCATCCCGGTGTCCCCACTCCCATCCCGGGGTCCCCCTCCCCGTCCCAGTGTCCTCTCCCCGTCCCAGTGTCCCTCTCCCACTCCGGTGTTCCTTTCCCACTCCCGTGTCCCCTTCCCACCCCCTGTCCCCCTCCCCATCCCGCTGGCCCCTCCCTGTCCCCTTCCCATCCCGGCGTCCCCTTCCCATCCCGGGGTCCCCCTCCCCGTCCCAGTGTCCCTCTCCCACTCCCGTGTCCCTTCCCACCTCAGTGTCCCCCTCCCTGTCCCCTTCCCACCCCACTGTCCCCTCTCCACCCCAGTGTCCCCTCCCCACCCCACTGTCCCCCTTCCTATCCCCCAGTGTCCCCTCCCACCCACCCCGGGGTCCCTTTCCCGCCCCTGTATCCCCTTCCCACTCTCCTGTCTCCTTCCCACTCTCCTGTCCCCTTTCCACCCCAGTGTCCCCCTCCCCACTCTCCTGTCCCCTTCCACCCCAGTGTCCCCCTCCCACTCTCCTGTCCCCTTTCCACCCCAGTGTCCCCCTCCCCACTGTTCCCTTCCTGTCCCAGTGTCCCCTTCCACCCCACTGTCCCACTCCCACCCCAGTGTCCCCTCCTCATCCCTTTCCCACCCCGCTGTCCCCTTCCTATCCCCGCAGCCCTCTCCTCCCTGTCCCCTTCCCACCCCACTGTCCCTCCCCACCCCACTGTCCCCTCCCCACCCCACTGTCCCCTTCCCACCCCACTGTCCCCCTCCCCACCCCATTGTCCCCTTCCCACCCCACTGTCCCTTCCTACCCCAGCGCCTCTCCCACCCCGCTGTCCCCTTCCTATCCCAGTGTCCCCTCCTGTCCCCCTCCCCACCCCCGCTGTCCCTTTCCTATCCCAGTGTCCCCTTCCCACCCCACTGTCCCCTTCCCACCCCACTGTCCCCCCTTCCTATCCCAGTGTCCCCCTCCCCACTCTCCTGTCCCCCTCCCCACTCTCCTGTCTCCTTCCCACTCTCCTGTCCCCTTTCCACCCCAGTGTCCCCCTCCCCACTCTCCTGTCCCCTTCCTATCCCCAGTGTCCCCCTCCCCACTGTTCCCTTCCTGTCCCAGTGTCCCCTTCCCACCCCACTGTCCCACTCCCACCCCAGTGTCCCCCTCTCTGTCCCTCCCCACCCCACTGTCCTCCTCCTTCCCCAGCCCCTCCCCACCCCACTGTCCCCTTCCTGTCCCAGTGTCCCCTTCCCACCCCACTGTCCCCTCCCCACCCCACTGTCCCCTTCCTATCCCAGTGTCCCCCTTCCCACTCCCCGTCCCACTCCCAGCCCAGTGTCCCCCTCCCTGTCCCCTCCTCACCCCACTGTCCCCCTCCCACCCCACTGTCCCCTCTCCATCCCAGCGCCCCCTCCCACCCCACTATCCCCTTTTCCTGTCCCAGTGCGTGTCCCCCTACCGCCCACCACTCCCTCCCCCCGCTCTCACCGCGCCCCTTGGCCTTGATCTCCTGGATGACGAAGGAGAAGTTGCCGCCGTCCTGGAACACGACGTCCACCACGCTCAGGTTGCGCAGCAGGGTGGGCAGCTGCACGTACAGCCCCTCGGCGGCGAAGAAGCAGGGCCGGTCGTCCACCCTCTCGTCCCAGTAGACGAGCAGCGCCCGGCGGCTCCAGTTGAAGCGCCGGTGGAGCCGCCCGCCCAGCTCGCCCAGCTTGCGGTGGCTCGGCCCCACGCGCGTGGTCAGCGCGAACTCCCCGCGCTTGTCGTCGAAGCCGTGGGCCTCGGCGCCGGCCGTGAGCAGCGGCAGCCGCCAGTGGCTGGTGAATCGCGCCACGGGCGCCGCGCTGTACACGCAGCCGGGCCCCACGAAGGCCGCGGGCCGGTGGGCCACGCGCAGGTCGACGGCGGCCAAAGGCGCGGCCATCTCGGAGCACACCCCGCGGCCGTCCTCGCTGTCGCCGAACACCCAGCGCAGGGTGAAGCCCGGCAGGAGATCCCGCCGGGAGTTGACGGCGGCCACGGCCAAGCGCACGGCGGGGCCCACGCGCGGCCAGGCCCACGGGTAGGTGAGGTTGCGGCGGGGCAGCACCACGGCGAGGGTCAGCGTGGTGTTGGTTGGGGTTGGGGTGGTGGGCGTGGGGCTCGGGGGGGCCGCGGCAGCGCCGAGGAGGAGCAGCAGGGCCAGCGCCGGCGCCGCCGGCATCGCCCACGGACGGTGGCGGAGTGGCGTGTCCGTGTGTGCCTCTGTGTGTGTCCCTGTCCCCCGCCTCCCACGGCGGGGCCGAGCCCTTCCTCGCCCCCCCCACTGGTGACACAAAGGGCCGTTATCATCCACACCGACCTTAACTCCTTCCTCGCCGCTCCCCCCGCGGCGCTGTGGTGTGGAGCCGCCCGCTGGTGGGTGTGGGTTTGGGTTTGCGTGGGGGTTTGGGAGGGGGGATTCCCGCTCTCCCAGGGGGTCCCGGCCCACGGGGATGCCCCGCGAGGCGTCCCCACCCCGTGTCCTGTGGCGACCACCCCGGTGCTGCCGCTGACCCGAGTGGGGTCAGCTGATGAACTCGCGCGTGGGGAGGGGGACGCCCCAAATCGCGGTCCCCGCCCTGTCCCCCCGCGAGGGGCGGCCACGGGAGGGGTCCGTGGGGAGGGTGGGGGCTCGGGCACCTCGCTCTCTTCCCTGTCCTCACCCGTGGGAGGTTCTGCCCCCACGGAGGGGTCCCGGCGGCCCCCGGGAGTGGGGGGTGACCGGAGGTGCCACTCGGGGTCGCGCGCTGCTGGGGACACTGGGGGTGCCTGGGGACGCGCGAGAGGTCAGGGACGCGTGGACGGGCACGCACGTAGATCCTGGGGTGGTCCAACCCTGGGACAGTCCAACAGCCGGGACGGTCCACGCCCCTGGGACACAGCGCGGACGCCGCGAGTTTGGCGACACGGCGCGACACTCGCGACGCTTCCCGGGTGGGACAACC